AAACCCCAAACAAACAGCAGGTTTTTTCACTTTGCAAACTGTCTCGCTATGTGTTTGCAGCTGGAAAGGGCTAACTCCTTACAAAAGGCGTTACTCTCTGTTAGAGGCTTCTGCGTGGGTTTTTGTGGCCGCCGGGGCCTAAAAAAGCTTACTCCCAGGTGGAAAAAAAAACGAGTGGAGGGGGTCTTATTTCTTAATAAAGATAGTCACATCTGGACTTCATTCGTCCGTTTGGCTGCGGTTGCGTTGGCAGGTTAGGTTGCTTTTCTGTTAACGAAAGCACAAATTCTGTTGCTCTGGGTTTGTTTTTTTCCGAGGCTGTTGACAAACAAACTGCAGTCGTACCCCGCAGGGGCTGGGCAGGGGGGCTCTGAGGGGACAGGACTTCATGTTTTATTAAGAGCTGTGTCCTACCGCTCTGAAGTAACACCATCCCAGTCACGGACGCTCTAGATAACTCCTTAATTGAAGCACCTTCAGTGTAAACCCATTAGCTTTAGATTTAATAGCGGGGGTTCCTCTATCCATTGGGCTTGAATCTGTATTCCCGGTGACCTTCTCCTGATGCTGTTCCATTAATTTCAGTGGAATTATTGCTGAAGCCTTCTTACATTGATGGGGGGAGCCTGCTTTTTTCCAGTGGAATAAATGTGCCTGGTTTGTGTTAGCATTTTTCTTAGAAGTCCTTTCTGCATCTTTAGCATAGTGCTAGGGGAGGAATGTAACTGGATGAAAGAAAAATGTGCTGCGATGACCATGGTCTTTTAAAGGAAAATGAGCTTCTTTCTCATTTCAGTAATTTTTCCTTCAGGCCCTTTCAGAACAGCAGAGTTTGTTTCATTTCTAATTTTAGCCAGAGGGAGCTTTTACAGGTATTGGCTTTTAAGGCAATCAGCGGCCTCTGCATAAATGACTGTTGCTGACTGATCATGTGAGGGCAGGCTGGACCAAACACACCTCCTGAAGAAGTTAATCTTACCAGCTTTGCCAGCTACAGTCGGCAATACAATCAGTCTAGTCTTTCCTTTTTTCTCCTAAAGAACAAAGAGGAGGGAAAAACAGCAGAAAATTAAAACCCAACCTTAAATTGTCTTTCCCTTTCTTCCCCTACAAAACCCTAGCTTAACACAAGGCTAATATTTGCTCTCTTCTCTAGCAAAAAAATGGTCTCTTCCCATGTTTGTGAGCTTGTATTACCTCTTGTTCCATCAAAAAGTTTGACTTTTATGGAGTAACAGATCCCAGTTTCTGGGATCTCTGTGAGTCCCCTCAGGCTGAGAAGACGTTGATACATCTTCACACTCTCCTCAATTACAGTATTAGGGCTTAGGTTGTACTTAAAATATGTTCCCAGTGGCGAGGAGTGATATGGTCCCAGGAGAGAGGTAACACATTTTAGTCTCTTGATCCCCATTTAGAGAAGAGTAACGCATGGAAGGACTCTAAGGTCCCTTCCAGCCTATGCCATTCTATGATTCTGTGAAATAGAGTTCTAGATTCTCCTTTTAAAGTGAGGAGGTTATGTATAGTACCAGTAATAATGTGTATTCCTCGTCCAAGTTTATTAACTAAATGAGGGAGTTTGCTTTTGTTCATGTCATCATCTGGGGTTATTGGAATTTAGCTAAAAAAAAATCAGTGAAGTTTGCAGTGGAGGTACCACTACTGGTCAGCTTTTGATGTCCTGCAGGAGCTCTTAATTTTCCAGCTATGTGTGCAAGGGTTCGGCCTACGGCATATCATCAAGAAAACCTCTCATACCAACTATTTTAAAGTGAACCTTTGACTGAACGCATGCAGTGAATGAACCTCTGTTAATTACTGGCAAGCTTCCTGTTACAAATTGTGCAGGTGACTACGAAAGGAGTTCTGTCCTGTTTTCTCAGATTTCTTAGGAACAGAGATAAAGGTAGTAGATATTCTTTCTGTATTATTACAAGTTTAGGTTGCTTTTAAGGTGAAGTCCATCTTGTCTTGCAGTTCAGAAGGAGTCAATAAAAGTGCATTTCCCCCCACATTTGCCCTAGAAGAATTTATAAGCAGTTTTTACAAAAATTAATCTGCACTGCAGTGGATTTTGCCACAGTTTTGCCGTTCTCATTTTTGTAATACAGCTGGACTACTGTAGGTAACACCATCAAATCAGAAGAGAAACTTTTTTGCACTACAAATGAGAATTACAAGACATGTAAACGTGGGTTTTATGGCGGTATTCTAATCTTTTGATATCACCTCTCTAGCAAGTTAATTCTGTACAAAATTCTGTCACTGTTACTGTGCACATTTTCAGTTCTGCACATTGTCTGCCTTGCACACATACAGTAAAATGTCTTGCACTTTGTCTTTCAATTCCTCTAAACTTTGGGTTAGGAAATTCCTGATTAGAAATGTGACACCAATGCTGTTTTTTAAACCAAGATTTGTTCCTTGGCGCTCAAAACCCCTTATATGGGGGAGAAAAAAAATAGTGCGTATTGTATTCTGCTATTCAGCAGAAAAATATATAATCTCTTCTATTTAGTGAAATGCATCATAGCTCTTCATTTCACTGCCAATTACAGTGAGGGTATTCATATGCCAGCACAGGTTGTGTGCTCTAGATCAGTTTGTCATGCAATAGAGAGCTGTTGGAGAGTGTTGTATTTTATTTAGCTCTGTGTAGTCATTTTATCAGTGTATATTTGGAATTAAATTATTTTATTACTTATTCATGGAACATACGATTGCTTGTCTGTCCCTGATAGTGGAGGATTCTGCAAGTTTATTACTATTTCTGGTCATGATAGGCTTAAGTACTTCAGTGGGCTGGTGGTGATACTGTACCTGGTGTGCTCAGGGTCTGTGGATTTGTTTATATTTTTGTTTTTACAGTAGCAGAACTGAGCGTCTTACAAGTCAGCGATGGCTTTTTCTCTAGAATTTGAATATGGAGGCCACAGGGACAGATGAAGTAGAAAAGATAAAATCAAAGTTTATGTCTGCATGGCACAACATGAAATACAGTAAGTGAAACAGTAAATGGTGAGAATCCACGTCCTTTGAAATGAATGTAATATCTTGTATTAATGTGAATGGGATCACAATTCAGAAACTTAACCAATATTTATAATAAAAAAGCAATATGGCCCTTGAAACCATTTTTACTCTGATACTGTAAACAGTCCAAGTAAACAAACTGCTTTAGCTTTTCGTGTTTCAAATAATTTTGCCTAATTTCTTTTAAAATTACTTATATGATAGATTTGCAAACAGATTTGCCTAGACTTTTAGACAGGGATAATGTAGAATCATCTATGCAAAGATTTTTCAATGTTTATATGTACTTTTCTGGAAAAAATAGGACAGTGTGTGAAATACAAGTTCCACTGAAAAATCTACTTCACATACTCGAGTAACGTACTTTACCAAAGTTGAACATCGGTAATTTGTTTATAAGCAGCCAACATTTCAAGTCTGCCCTTTGCTAATCTGCCCTTAACCTTATTTTTTCTACTTTTCCTCTAGGCCTGAGGTTGCTCAGGTTTACCACCAAATTTCTGATAATTTTTTATAATTCTCGTAATTGGAGATGTCTGGCAAGATGAAAGGATGCTTTCCTACTTTCTTTAAGGCTACCGCGCAGACGAAAGGCAATAGTAGTCAATATGCGCTATATGCGATAGGAGAAGCTTAAGAAACTATGGATTTAGGATATGAAAGACTACAGGATTTAGACTCGAGTGAAAAATCTGTTATCTGGGGACATTGTCAAACCTGGAAACTGAGTTCTGGCCCTTTGAATCTGTACAAGATATTATACTACCCCTTTTCTATCTGAAATCTGCAATTTAAGTTTTGATTTTTGAAGTATGTTTAATTCATCCTACGGGAAAAGCAGTACTCTTCATGCATTTGCATTGATCTTCTGTCAAACTTGTTGTACGTCGTGACAGGAGTTGGAAACTTCACAGAATCAGACTATACAGTAATGAGTTCGTAATAGAGACAAAGCAACTTAAGATCAACTTTAGCGTTTCTGCAGCCTAACAATTTCTGCGCACTCGTACCATTATACTAACATTCAAGCATTCGTATTTGGGTAACATCGTTCCTTTTAAACCAGAACTGCAATCTATGTTTTGTAGAACTGTTAAACCTTTTGTTACCTATGAAAGCAGAACCCAGCGTCAGTATATTTTCTCTATATTCCCCTTTCAAAGGTTACCTTTGGCTTAACCAGATATTATTAGCAGTTCCTTTTTGGAATACTTCCCTCACAAATTTGTATTTGTTTTGCATCTGTTTTAGGTTGGGTGTTGAAAACAAAAACTTACTTCAGTAGAAACTCTCCGGTCTTTCTGCTGGGAAAATGTTACCACTTCAAAACTGATGGTATGTACGTAGCTCTTAACTCGTTCCTGTCTTACCCAGCAGGAGCTCTGTGGATATATTATTAATCTTCTAGAGAGATTGTCATTAACAATTGCCAAATTCAAAATGTAAATATGAAAATCTTAGAAAAATACTCGTCTAGACATCCAACACCACTGCTAATGCGACCCATCCCGACCTGCTTTATTCAGGTTTTACACTGAAGTTTTGTTCTTTCTGTGAATATTAGTGCTGTAATTTGCACCTTACTTCATTTAGCTATCAGTTTGAGATTTTCTTTCTAAAAACTCCTGACTGAAATCGTGACAGTACCTGTATAAAGAGTTGCTGCGCCAACACCTTTATCATTTTCCATGATGCATTTTCCTAAGAATTTCTCTGTACTTGACAATTTGCATTTATTTAAGTCAAGCAGTTGCGTACTTGCAAGTCGATTTCATCGGTACAGAAATGTTGGCTGCACTGCGTTTTTGTTTTTTTATTAAATCTGGCTCATTTTTATGATGTTTGTCTTCCAATTTTCCTTTCTTGTATTTGAAGCGATTGTTACTCTTTGCAAGGTTGCCCCATTTTTCTACTAGAATAATCATATGTTTTTTACTTTCCTTCTAATAACAGAAGTGCCGTAGTGACTTATAACTGAAATTGTGCTTTGCCTTACAGAATGTGGTGAACTCTCTACAGATGGGTCCAATTTTGATAAAATCAACAAAGAGATTTCCGGAAATGTTGAGGAATTCCGTAAAGATTTTATTTCTAGAATATGGTTGACTTACCGAGAGGAATTCCCTCAGATAAAGGGGTCTGTGTTAACAACAGACTGCGGTTGGGGTTGCACCCTGAGAACTGGTCAGATGCTGCTGGCTCAAGGTCTTATGCTTCATTTTCTTGGGCGAGGTAAGTCATGTCTGTGTTTGGTGTGATAAGCATGGATGTTCTGTGGAGAGTGATGGTCTTTATGTAGCTCAAATCTGAAAGAGCGAGCGGGTTTTCCTTCTAGACTCCTCAATAATATTGGAATATTGACCAAAGTCCCAAAGTGTGTCAAAGGAGGATACTGGAAACTCCACAGAAATTAACCATGAAGTAAAATACCACAGAAATTTGTGATCCCGTAGCTGGGAGTTGTTATAATCCATACAAGGGTCCAATTCTCTCGAAACTTGCTCATTCCTTGAACTCAAGATGTGGAAATGAATTCCCTGTAGCTGTGAGCTATGGCAGAAGTGAAGTTCTGTTATCAGTTTTAAAGTTGTATGTTATTCAGTTTTGTCTGGTATTAATATATTGAGGTAACAGAGGAATTCTGATGTAACTTCAATACATCATTCTTTGTGTTGAAATTTTCACTGTTTCGTTTCCTCCCCTCCCCTCCATGCACTTCCAGAGGAACTTCCTTTTTTTTCCTGATCACTGTCTATCGCAAAACACTTTCTCAGTCAGAGAAAGAAGCAGCTTTAGACTTGGAACAATTTCTGCTCACAAAAGCTAAGCATGTCCTCCCCACTCTTCCAAGCTGAGCCATTAGGGGTAGTTTTGGTTCTCATAGTTAACCACCTCCTCTTTCCATCCTCCTCTCAATCCCTTTCACCACTGCTTGTGGTCAAAATGATCCAAGACACGGCCTTGAAGCCACATGGACATGTTAGAGAGAATACAGTGTATTGTTTACTTAGCCATTTGTTGAATCCCAACAGCAGCCTTTAGTAGAAGATAGTTCTGAAAGCCTGTTTGGAAATCCTTTGTACTTACTGTGCAAACATGATGTAAGCTGTGAACGTGGTCCCAAACCAGCTGCATCACAAAGTCTTCTTTCTTGGCAGTGTCATGACCGACCTATCAGATGGGATTACTGAATGTTCTTTTTGCTGCAGATATTTAAATCATAAAACAGTTGTTATCCCTTTCGACTGACGGCAAGTATCAAAATGTATGAAAATACTTCTGCTGAGAACACAAATCCCTTAAATTTAACTCTCGTTGTACATACATTCAAAAAAAAAATCCAAAATCTGATCAGAAGACAGCCTGTGAGTAGGAATGCATAATGGCTTATTCTGAAGTAACCCCAAACAAAAAAGCCCCGGGTTTATATCTTTAAAATCCATGGCTATGAAGAATTCCTTGCACTGTCTCCCACACATACTAATTTGGAAAGTGATTTGGCGATTCCAAAGTTTCTGTGGCAATCCAAATGCATAGTAAAATGGAATACGTATGGTCTTCCTGGACTGCTTTCTCATCACCTAGTCTTCTGACAGCTGGTGAATTATCTTTTGAAAAGCTTTTTATGAGGTCTGGGTAGCTCTTGAAGCATATTTAAATGTTTACATGAAGTTCTTCATCACTGTTTAGTCTTTTCCCAGAGATGTTTTCATTATAGTTTAATGGTGATGTTTCTGTTACAAAGCAAAGCTTGACTGCAGGTACTAGCTGGAATACTTACACTTCCATTGCTCTGTGGAATATTCCAGATATTGCTGAATGATGTTGTAAATGAGTTTTTATTTGAAATATTAAGGTACTGGTAAGTTCTGCTTTGAAATGCGTGTGCTTAAGACAACAACTTAAATTCGAAGCTCACAGCACAGGGACAGCAAGGCCTGTGATGGTGTCGTATTGGACTTACGCACGCATCTGCCTGCGTCTGTGACGAAAAACTCGCTTGAGGAGGAAGGGTGCTGCTCATGGGAAGCTGTGGGCTGCAGGGTGGCTGTCAGGCTGTGCCAAGCATGGCTGACACCAGTTATGGCCAGTAGCAGCAACGCTTGTGACATGACCAGAGTGCAGCGTTAGAGTTTAGAATTAAAATATCGTTGCCTCTGTGCTTCCTCTTTGTCTCTCAGAGACTTTTGACGTGGTTGCATCAGTAAGAGTTCCAAGGAGGGCTGCAGGTCGTGCTCTGTCGGAAGGGGTTCCTCTCGCTGCCGCAGTGGCAGCTTTGCCGAACCCCCGGGAGCTGACCCAAACCTGGCTCACGGAGCAGAAGCACCCCATGGGTAGGGTTTGTTCCTTCCTTGCACGTGGCAGCCTTCCCCTGGCCTTCTGCGATGTTCCTTGTAGAGCTGCAGGACAGGTTCTGATCTGACGGGATGCTCAGGGTGTGCTGGGGATTTCCTCCGGCGCTCTGTGGCACAAGGAGTTGTTTGAACTCGTGGGATAACTGGAAGTCTCTCCCACGAGGGCGGCATCGCTGTTCTCTCGAGGTGGTGAACCCTGGCAGAGGAACGCCGTTGTTAGAGAAACCTCTAGCTAGAAATGCAGACTGCGGATGCTGTGATGAATAATATTTGAGCAAGTTTGTCTTGCAACGTAGGTGAAGAATTTGCAAAGTTAGTGAAGAATGAAATCTTGTCTAGTTTGCGGCTGATGTGCTGATGTTTTGCCAGGAAGAAGTGTTTGTTTTTACAGGACTAATTCCTCAGGTTTTCTATTTTTTTTAATAACTGACAAACCAGAAGAATTGAAAACAGCTCCTGAAAATTACTGTTTTTCCTGGATAAAACTTCTTAGATCGTACTGAATAGCTAACTTTCATATATTTAATATATAAGATACTTCTAACCTGTGCCTTGTAGTCCGGTGTATCTTGTGTGTTTAACTGACTGGTATCACAGAGTCTGACCTCTGTTTCAGGTTGCATAAATTGCTGACAGATGTACAGCTAGGAGTATTTAATTTCACCTGTCATTCAGCAGAAAATAAAAGCAAATCATTCCCCAATCAAGTCCTCCGTTTACATTTTAACACTGACATTTGCATCTCAGTATCTACATGACATATGACTGGTTTAAGGAGTGTGAGGGAGAAAGCGATGGGCTCTGTTATTTGTACCAAAAAGTTTGTATTCAGCCCGATAACACATCTTGAAATTTCTCGCTGCAGCCTGGGTCTGGCCGGATGCGTTGGATGTTGACAATTCCGATTCTGAATCGTGGACAGCCCATACAGTGAAAAAGCTGACAGCGTCATTCGAAGCATCGCTTACAGCAGAAAGAGAACCCAAGATCCTGTCAAATCATCATCGGGGAACATTAAGGAGGAAGCATGACGAGAATGAAATGAGAAATGAAGTTTATCATAGAAAAATAATTTCTTGGTTTGGCGACTCTCCACTGGCAGCTTTTGGTTTACACCAGCTAATAGAATATGGAAAGAAGTCTGGAAAAATTGCTGGAGATTGGTACGGGCCTGCAGTCGTTGCACACATTTTAAGGTAAAAATACCTTTATTCTTTGTTGTTACTGTGCCTTACACATTGTGAGAGCAGCATTTCAAAGGGCATTGAGATTACTTCAGCTTAATTGCGTATCTAACTGTTCCTTTTGGGCTTTGTAAAAGGCCCATGTTAGTAGCAATTCTAGAGACTTTTTAGAGGTACGAAGGGAAATAGCAGCAGGTGCAAGAACTGAACTCTGAGCTTTTGTATAATCTTATTTCAGGAAAATAAATGAGATTCTTCTATTCTGTGCTTGGGCAGTAGAAGTCTCAAGTATCTCTCTCAAACCTAGGCTTTTAGGTAGAGCTACATTTAATGAAATGTTCTAAAAACTAACCACTCTTTCAACCTTGGAACATGCATAACATTATAGACTTTTTTTTTTTTAATACTGTAACCTGGGGGCTGTAATGTACTGATACTGTAATGAAATGTCAGAGCTAAAATTGATGTTTTCAGCATTTCTTTGCACACATCAGATTCTTGTGAAACTGTAAATGTATGGGACTATTAATATTATAATTATATCACAGTAAAAGTAAAGGGTCTGTGACATTCAGTGTGGTTTAAAAAAAAGTCTAAAGTCAAATTTCTCTATATTAGGTGCCTTTATATGCCATTTCTTTAAATATTAGTGATTTTTTTTCTATTTGCTTTTTTTTTATAACTTTGTATGCTTATGTTCTTATTAGTGATTCAGTTTATAGGTAAACTGGAATCCACTAAGTCATTTAAGCAGCAGATGCAAAAGTTCCAATGTTTACCAATGTATGTGAATAGAAGAATTTGATATTTAGTATTAAAGTATATTAATCAGAAACAAACGTGTACTGAAATAATCAGGTGTATGCATGTGCATACAGCAGTGTGAGAGGTCAGCATCATTTATGTGTTTTCTATTTATTTTTTTTTTCCTGATGATAACAACTGTCAGAATTCTTTTTGCTCACTTTAAATTTGCGGTGGCTTGTTGGCCTCACAGGAGCGGGACAGAGAGGCATCTGATCCAGAATTACATTCGACATAAACCTACCAGTGATTCCAACGCTGCAAAGATTTCCTTTCCTAGATCTCCTTCCTCTCTTGCAGCAGTACTGACAGTGTATAACGCTCTGATAACTTGAGAACGACTGTGTTAAACAATTCCCCAAAAATATATTGTGGAATAAAGGGATAGTGGCCATTTAATGCCAGCATGCGTTGAAGGCAAAGGCTAATCTTCTGTTTTGAGCAGTTTAATTTCTTTACAGATGTTGTCCTTGATTGACGATCATGCTTCAGCCTATCGACATACGTTTTCTTTTTAGTTTTTAGGTCCATTACTCTTCCTCTTTTGAGGATAGCCTAATATCGTAATTACCTTTTTGAAAGTTTTGGTGAAACCTCGCAGCTTTTTCTGTGCTAGCCTGTAGACAGGAAGAGCTAATTTGTGGCCAGTTATGTGAACTGAGGTCAACTGCAGAGATCTATAGAGTTGAAAATAATATTTTTGTCAGCAAAGCTAGCCTTTGTTATCCCAATATACCTGACAGAAAATTATTGTAAAGAGAAGGAAATTAGGTGGTGAATATGAATTTCACTGTATGTTAATGTGTTTCTTTGGGCCTTTTTTTTCGTGATTTTCGTTGTTCTAAATAGCTAGACATTGTCACCTTTGTTTGGGAGAAGCATGTTGCCCTACATGCTGGGTCTTGATATCCAGTGTTTAAAAAGCACACCCTGTGTTTATCAGAAATGGAAGGTGTCTTGAACAAAAATAATAAAAATAATTAAAAATAAACCTAAAAAAAATCCAAACCAAAACAAAACCCACCACCAACAAATAATTAAAACCAACCTGTTTCTAAAAATCAAATAATTTGTGTTTCTTTGTTGATTTTTTTTAAATCAGAGATGAGTTAAATAGTTTTGTGTTTGTACGTAGAAAAGCTGTTGAAGAAGCAAGAGACCCTGAGCTACAAGGATTAACAGTCTATGTTGCTCAGGACTGTACAGGTAAATGTTGTGATTATATAGCTTTTTGCAAACGTTTTAGATGCTTTTTATGCCTTTTGGTAAGCACTTAACAATAGACTTGTACAGGAAAGAAAATAAACTGAAAAATGGATCCACAAAATTAAAATTATGTAGACAAAGGGTTTCTTGATACATGCAGATGTTGTTCTCTTTGAGAATCAGACATCACAACTTGAAAGCTTCGTACGCTGCTTGTTTGGTATCTTACAGTGGAAGATGGTGGAATTCCAAATCCAGGACGATAAATTCTCCTTCGAGTTTGCCTGGTGTAACTTTTTATTTTGGATTTAAATCTGGTTTTTATTCACTTCAGTGTTGTTTTAGCAATAAGCTAGTTAGAACTTCCATCTCTCTCTAAAGATAACCCCAAAGAAGCAAGTAACTGAAAAATACTTCAGCTCTATTAGATTATTAGGTGTATTGTATTTGTCTTTTGAACCCCAGAATTTTTTTCTACCAGTCTCTTAGACTAGTAAGAAGTCATTTTCACTTGGCGTTCAAAGATGCAAGCAGGGTAGTGAACCCGAGCTGGGGTAACCTTTCTTGAGCTCCAGTGTGTTGTTTTAAATGATCAGTGATGGACAGAGGAGCTTGGAGCTCTGGATCTTCATGATGACAAAATAAACTGAACGGGTGTGGTGAAACTTTGCACTAACGACCGTAGTTGTTCAAATTTAAGTGCAATGTGTTACTTCAGTAGCCGTGTTTAGCTGCCAGAAATGTTAGTTGTGTCCTAACCCATCTTGGGATAGAACAGCCAAGGCCAACATCCCTGGGTAATCAAGCAAATGGCTTTTAAAGAGACACTGTTTAATCATACACTACTAACCAGTTGCACCTGCCTTACAGTGACAGTGGAAACTTAAAATTCTATTAATTTTTCACTTCTGGTGATGATTTTTCACATCCCTCTTAGTTTTGAGGGAATAAGCAGTAAGTTTTTTACTCATTTTCAGTGACTGTTAACTTCAGACATTGAACTTGCATATTTATTAAAATCAATTATTGTCTTTTTTTCCTTTAACGTGTTTCTGTTAGGCTCTCAACTTTTAAATTGCTCCATTTAGAAGAGGCTTACGTGAAGTGAATAAATATTGTCTTTCTCCTAAATTACCCCTTCTGAATTTCCTTGGCAATGCATCTTAGCAGCAGCAGCAGATTATCTTCTGCGAAATGTTGTTGAAAATAAGGAGGCATAGCACTGTTTTTCATCTGTGTCACTTGGGAGCTGTATTTCAGGAGGACAGTAAGGTTTGAAGGACTGCAGTTTTCGTTTGTCGGGCTAAGTGATGACGTGTTGTAGGTGTGTTTGTAAAAGCTAGTGGTTCTGTTTCAAATATGAACATTTCTGTGTGTCTCCTTTCAGTCTACAGCTCAGATGTTGTTGACAGACAGTGTTCTCTTATGAATTCTGGAAGAGCAGATACAAAAGCTGTAATTATATTAGTTCCTGTGAGACTCGGTGGAGAGAGAACAAACGTGGACTACTTAGAGTTTGTAAAGGTATGAAATGAGAGTTCAATCATTTTTCAAATAGTAGCACTCAGTGCTAAGAAAAGCCACTTCATGATGGTAATCTTGTACCTATTAAATGTGTGGTGGTGATTTTACCGTTGAAGGTTGTAAAGTTTGACTTTACGGATTTTAAATTTCCCTATTACAAGATCAGACATAATTGCAGAGCACATGATGTCCCTTGGTAAAGCAGTGATAACTGTCCTACTCCTCAAGTAGCTACCTGAAAAGACGTTAATGCAGTGGCTCAAATTACAAATGGCAATTTAGTTACATATGCTGTTAGAGCTGTTAAGTATCAGTCAGAGTTTTAAAATCTAAATATACCAGATTCCTTATTCTCTTTCCTATTTTCCTAAATGTCAGATGGTTTAAGGTTGTTGCTTGTATATTCTTCTCATTTTCTTTTGTCTTTTTTTTTTCTTTTCCTCTTGAAGAAAGGGGATAGAATTTTTTTATATCTTTCATTTCTGCTTCCAAATGTTTTTTCACTGTCTGGGCATGAGGATTCATTCAGTGATGCAGAGGGAGCGAGCAGTTAACACAAATGAAAATGAACCAGAAAAAAACGTCTATACTGTCCTCTTTTTATTTTTCAGCAGCGGCTCTGCACATAGTGCTAACACCCAAAGATGTACTGTAACTTTATCTCTTGAGCACAGGAATACTTCTCTTGGGGAGGCGATTGTCCTCTTAGCCCTGCTGCTTTATCATTTTCCATGCTGCTGTTTATCTGTCTTTAAATTCTTGGCTTCATTTTTAAAATACTGCAGTGTAGTAGCATGAACAAAGCCTGCCAGTCTGTAACATTAAACATTTGTTCTTTAATGACAAGGGGAGACAAAGGGATGAAGCCTTCTATTTAAGTGATGAACTTCTGTTTTTCTTTCCTGATTCTTTGCCTTATATTTTCAGACAGTTGGTTTTGGAAGAGTTTTAGTTCTTTTCTGATGAGTTCTGACACAGTTAAACCTGTGGTCTCAAACATGATCTACAGCAACAGTAGTTAACTCCAAAAAAGCCTTTGAATCAGTCAGGAAAACACCCAGTGCCTTTGTTTGCAAGCTAACAAACTTTGACAACTTTCACAAGGCTTTTTCAGCGAAAGGAAAGCGACCACAGCTCTTGAATACTGGCTTTTCTTATTGACAGGTATCTAGAGCTGGTTTCACCTGCAGAGACTTTCTCAGTTTAGCTTTCCAAAACCCCCTTGCCAGAGTAAAATACGTTTGCGTGATGCTGGGTTTCATAGCACAGCCAAGTTTTCTGAGCCCTCCTCGTGCAACTGGCGTTACCGCAGTGGTTTCTGCTGCTCCTCTGCCAACCCCAGGGCTCCTCTTGCAGTCTGTGATGGAGACTGTGATAGGAGAGCTTTCAACTGCATCCATTCGTCACTCCAGTCTCCAGCTTGACTGTTCACAAGAAGTGACTCCATTTCTTGGGGTCTGGATTATAAGTTAAAAATGCAGATTTGAGAATGTAGCACAAGAGGTAATTTTTATGAAGGATTTTATATTTATGGATGAAAATTGATAAATTTTTTTATAATTCCCCTTTACAAGAGAATTCCCACAGATTAAACGGTTAGTCGTTACTCTAAGTAGCTTTGCTCCCTTTCTCTTCTGCTGGCAGAGGATGTGTCTTCCTCAGCTGCTTCAGCCCTTGCATATCTGCCCAAATGTTCTGTAATGCTCAGCCATCAAGGAGCATCTTCTAAAAAAGCTTTCTTGTTCATATTTTAAGCAAGGAGCACTGTTTCTCATGCTCAGCCATGCCAAAGTTGACTCTGTTAGCATCTCAGGTGAGGGATACTATAGATTTGTTGAGAGCTATTTTCCCTACTTACACGGTGATAATGTAATGGTTGATCTCTTAGAGGAGAGGATCAAGGTATGACTGCCAGCTACGGAGATTTCACTTCAGCTCAGCTGATGGGCTCATGGATTGCTGGCCCAGTTTGGGCCAGCGTCCAACTTTTTGGGCCCAGCACTTGTCTAGTGCCACGAGAAAACTGCTGTGATTTATGGCCATTGAAAGGCTGTTCGCTTTGGAGGATAGTTAATGGTCTTGGGCTTCACTTGCATTAGAACAGTTGGGCTCATCTTTCCAAAGTGCTCAGTGTTGGCAAAATTCAGCTCCCACTAGAGCTGGCAGGATAAGTAATGGAGAACTGTGTTAAAGCCAAGACTGAACGTTCACAAAAATCCTAATGAGCCCTGGTAAGAAACAAAACCTCCCAAAAATGAAAAGAGTAGAAAAATGTTGAAGGGAGAGGGAGGGAAGTTCTCTGTACCTCCTTCCACTCCTTTGCCAGCTGCTACTTCTAAGAGAGGAATGACCAAGGGTGATTTCTTTGGCGTCCATTGTCTGTGACTGCATCCAGAGCCTGTGCCTGGTAGTGGAATTTCAGTCAGTTAAACTCCTGAAATGTTCTCACCTTGGCAGAATTGCATGTACACAGGTAAATCCTTCTCCCCAGCCATAAAATCAACATTTTATCATGTAATGGTACGCTGACCAGGTGTGTGTGCTAACACAGACACGTGGCTTACAGAACCCAACTTGTTTTGACCTGAGCGAACTGAAATAGGCTGGCAGTGCCAGCGTGGCTCCTGGCTTTGCAGTGGCTGGAGGAATATATTTCTTCCTTTACCCCTCCAGGCTGAAATAGTTCCTCGTATTTTGCCCCATGTCCCTCTTTAAATCCCACTCGGTGTATTTGCAGTCTCTCAAACTTGCTACATCACGATGACTCTGACTCCTCACAGGCAACGCCCAGTAAGATTTATGGGGCTTGTCTGTTGTGCGTCTCTCGCTGCTCCTGTATTTTGGGCGGCTGTTTTTAGAGCTCTATCTTGTAATTTTTCTTGCTTCAACTGGCATTTCTCCCTGTGATGTAAAAGTTCATGCTCTACACAGACTCCTACATTTGAATGCAGAAAGAAGAGAGCCCCCAGGGCCGCAACATGTAAATGTGCATGAATTCCGTAAATCTGAATACTTTTGACTAAGCAACCCATGCTCATGTTGTATGGCATTAGGCTTTGTCTCCTCCCTGGAAATTCTACTGCCAGTTCTCTCAGTGTGTGGGTGTCTCATGGCGAGGAAGGGCTTCCTCTGGAATATCTGGTGGTATGTTTGCACTTTGGTCAGTTGGAAGCTGCTAAAAACGGAGGCAAGCCCCAGAAAGTCAGTCTTAAAAAAAACCCCAACCCTAAACCCCAACACAATAAACTGAAAAGCTATTTGCCTAAAAACAGCAAAGATTTTAATTCAATTTAGTATTTCCTAATTATTTAATGTTCTTGTTGTAGGGAATTTTAAGCCTCGAATATTGCGTTGGTATTATCGGTGGCAAACCCAAGCAGTCATATTACTTTGCTGGATTTCAAGGTTAGTGTTTTAATATGTTATGTCTCTTCAATATTTTTCTTTAAGAGTTAGGAAGTTAATATCGAACCAGCGCGAAATAGGATGATTAAAATAGCAAAATGAGTACCTTATTAATTCATCATATCCACCCAAGTCCAGTCATTTGTCATTTACCCTATGTAGTAATTGGATTCTGTAAAATGTACATTTAATTTCCATTGTTGCATAAACAAGGCATAATTTATCTATTTCATCAAACTTCAGGAGCATTTGCTGTTACTGTCTGGCAGTTCTTATTTACGTATTTACTTTTGGCTAGTTTAAGTGGTGTTAGTTGACGCTTAAATGACAAGCAATATATTCTTCCTGTCAGGATGAAGTAGCGCGAGGCATTTTTCATAGGCAAACTCCAGAATATAATTGTGTGTTTGTAAAAGTAATTTTATCACCAAAAATTAAATGACAGTCTCATCACTTTATAAAAATTCTGCTTATACAAGCATATTTGATTATGCAAAAGTTAATCTGTCCTGCAAAAACCTATGCTTCAGTCGATGAATATCAGCCTGGCAAGTGGTTACTTGCTGGCTTTTTTTTTTTTTTTTCCTTTTCAATCTGTTCTGCATAGAAATTGGATTGTAAGCAGTGTAATAATAAGGTGTTTTTTGAATTACTTGTCTTCTGTTTTGTCCTTGTAGATGACAGTTTGATTTACATGGATCCTCATTACTGCCAATCTTTTGTAGATGTCAGCATAAAGGATTTCCCTCTTGAGGTAGTGTGGATATAGACCTGGCACTGTTTTCTTCCCATATGAATCAAACACTAATTATTTAGAGATGTTCTAGCTAGCTGCATCTTTATGGTTTTACAGCTACATGTTATTTATCAAAGTTCTGCCCTTCTTTATAGGCCTGTAACCAACAAAAATGACCATGGTTAGAAACTCAGCATGGGGTTTTAATTTTTACTTCGTTAATCTTTGTCTGTTTCTTTCTAATGATCAGAAAACCTCAAAAATAGATAATCACTTAATCTAAGTAATTTTCCATCAAAGAAAATAGGCAATATTCGAAGTACTTTAACCTCAATTATTTGGATTTGGTTTTTTTAGTTTGTCATTTTGGTCTATTTTATTTTTTTATTATTTTATTTTATTTTATTTCATTTTAAAATCAAGTTGCAGTTAACATTGTGGAGAGAATTACTGCAGTATTGAATAGTAGGAGCCTGTGCTCAGGTTGGAACCAGTTTCTGTAGTTGTATTTCTGTACTGGAGTAGGTGGTTATAATTTTAAATGTAACTTTTGCTCTTAACACCTTTGCAGATCACTTTTTTGGCTTCATACAAGTGGAATTTTTGAGGCTTATCTGTGAGGTTTGTGGTTGACTTGATGAATTTTACTCGAGTCTTCTCAATTGTTTTAATGAGTTTGTTATTTTTAACCAAGCTATTTTTATGGAATAGTAGTTTCCAACAGACTGACAGGTCTGGAAGTACGGGTGCTGAGTTTGTTCAATCTTTTCCCCAAACCCCTTTCCAGGTCACAATTTCCTGTGTGCAGGAATGTGATGAATGCATCCTTTCAGGTCTTAAAAATCGTGCTTGTTGTTTGGTTTGGTTTTTTTTTCTTTTTACAGTAGTTTTTTCGCTTTTCTTTAACCTCTTGCCAAATAACTTGCATTGAAAATAGACAGAGCTAAAGAAGGTTATTAAGAACTCAGTTTGCAAGTACTGTGGGAAAACATTATCAATTGCCGACATAAGTGTTCAATAGCCACAGAATCACACAGAATGTTGGGAGTTGGAAGGGACCTCTGGAGATCACCCAGTGCCACCCCCTGCCAGAGCAGGGTCACCCAGGGCAGCCACACAGGAACGCGTCCAGGAGGGTTTGAAAGTCTCCAGAGCAGGAGACTCCACACCCTCTCTGGGCAGCCTGGGCCAGGGCTCCGGCACCCACGCAGCCAAGAAGTTTCTCCTCATGTGGAGGTGGAACTTCTGTGTTCTAACTTAAACCCGTTATTCCTTGTTCTATTGCTGGGCACCACTGAGAAGAGATTGTCCCCTTCCTCTTGACACCGACCTCTCAGATATTTCTATATGTTAATAAGATCAGTACTCACAGCAGAAGTCCTTGGCACTGTCCACACAAACTCTCCTTCTTGATCTTGTGTCCAACTTCCACGTGAACTTCCAGCCTCTTCAGAACAACTCTTCTTTCCATGTGGAAACGCTCCCTGGGTGCATCTGTGACTTGGGGCAGGACCAACTGTTCTAGAACAGAGTTGGTTGTTAGTAGTGCTTCCTCATGCCACTGCGTTCTGTGAAGTACCCTTAAACGTGAAACATTCTCTCAGAAACAGCAGGCTGCATTTAAATAAGGAAGAGGAATATGTGTTTATCCCCACTACCTCTAAAATACTTAACGTAAGAATCTTCCAGGCTTACAGTAAAGTTCTGTAAACAGTGGAAGTGAGTCGTAGGCACCTCTTCAATGCACACCTGAGGAACTGAGGAGGGGATCTTAAATTGGCTGTTTACACCTAGAACATGAGTCAAATGGCATGTATGAAATGAAGTGAAACGAAATTACATATCTTCACCGCTTCTGCTTGGTATAGCAGCTAAGAGTTAACCTGAGAAGAGCGGAGTGAACTGCAATGGTTGGAGAGTCCCAGCTCTGCTGACTTGTATCGTGGCAGCAGCCAGAGATTATGAGCACGATCTTTGCCCCTTTATGCTAATAACTGTAGTAAAATACAGTGCTTCCTCTGAAGATTTTACAGTTTAATTGGGTAAGCCAGACAAAAGATGGGAAGAGCACAAAGAAGCAGAGCTGAACTGACTTCCTTAAGGTCACGCTGTAGCTGAGCGGCCAAGCTGCAAAAGATGCACATCTTTTTGGTTTCTCTTCCCATGATTAATCCTCCAGAATGGGCTGCAGACTGGCATTAATATGAATTTCCAAATAATAATAAGATTTAGAAATGTATTTTAAAGGTATGCAAGCTGCCAGCTTGGCTTGATCACATCCTAATGCTTTTCTGCAGACGGAAAATACATTGCAATTTAATGCTTAGTGCATTTAATAGTGTTATATCTTTGTCCAGAAAATGTCAAAAGTAAACAGGAATTGCTTTCTTAGTGTGGATAGTTGCTTGTTGGAGTTATCTGTAGGGAGTATTTTCAGAATTGACAAATTGTCCAGAATAAGTTGGAAATCAATCCACTCTGTATTGGCTTCCAGAGTCCATTTGTTTGGAGGAGTGGGGGGAGAAAAAAAAGGAAAAAAAAGAAAGCCTACCCACTTCTCTTTGTTGTACAGCGATTTGTGTAGCGCTAAGACTGCTGCCCAGAACAGCACAGCACAAGGGTAGTTGCAGTGTTGCTGCTGAAGTGGGATCTGTAAGGCAGGGTTCGATTTCTGTATTTGATGACTGAGGAATGAATATTCAAAACACAATTTCTGCATATAAAATTTGAACAAAATTAGGAGAAGGAAACAGTAGCTCAGATCAACCTTGTAGAAACAGTGCTTCTCATCATTGCTGATACTTTTTAGCAGAGGCTTAATAGAAGTACCTCTCTTAGGTTTGTAACCACGAGTAAAGAACATGCTTCAGCGCATGTAAGCCTTACACTGACAGATACTCTCGGATCGGGTAACTGGCACTGTCATTCTCTGTAGACTGACTTTTCTGATTGGCAAAAAAAAAATAAATGTATTTTTTATATACAGACTGCGTGATGTTAGCTGTCAGGGGTTGCTTTTGCAGGGTAACTGCTGTTAGTGATCCTCCCTAGAGGAGGCGGGGTGGTGTGAGTCGAGAATCTCCCACGTTGCTCCGTCCTGGTGTGAGTTAAGCTGTCCTGGCCCTGCGCTGACCCGCACTCACAGGTCAACATGGAAGGAATTGGCACAGAATATTCCTTGGAAAATACAGATCACTGCAGGAAGTTCATGAAAAACAAAACCTGTGGTTTAGTGTGGCGGTGTCTCGGTCGCGGCGTGGTGCAGCCGCGGTGCGTTAGCGTTTGTTACCCAGCAGCTGTAGCAGGATGCGTTGCTGCTGATTTAATAGAGCGACGGGGTAGTCCTGTGTGTTAGGAGCAAAATAAAGCGAACTACCTCAGAGAGACAGTCAGTGGTGACGAAATAATTTCAGTTACTAGACAATGAGCTTCGCCAAAACTACAGCTCCTGTAATAAATAACCCCAGACTCGGGGGAGATGGCGTGTACTTTGCTTTTCTCTCGTGAGCTGTGAATGAGGAGCGCGGGGAAGGGGAGTTGTATTTGTTTGTCTTACAGCATGGCTGCTGATAGTGGCAGTTCACAGCCCTGTCAGAGCGTCATCTGTCATGAAAAGAGATTTCACATTAGGAAAAAAACCATAAAGTGGGGCACATCATTTGGATTTTTTTTCCTACTTGTGGATTATTGTAGCATGCTTTTTGCTTTTGTGGTTTCTGTGGGGTTTTTAACCCATTTCATTTACCTAAAGGGAAGTGCACGAGGTTGGTTTATTCGTTATGTCTCTTTTTTAGAGGCTGGGGGAGGGGAAGGGGCAGTGGGCAGGGTAGTAAAGCCGTAATTTTAAGATAGTGCAGAAGCTGTTACAAATTCAATTTGCAGAAGAGCATTCACCTCCTCTGCCTTGGGAATATTCATACAGTACCGCTCGGAGCGGCAGAGCTTTGACACGTTTCAGACCAACGTGGTGTTGTGCGCAAGTTTGGTACATGCAGCATAAATGGCTTCTAGAGGTGTGGAGAAGACTGGGATTACTTGAATGTTTTGAGGAGGGGATGGAAGAAATTATTTGAAAAGTGTGTGCTGGGTTTGAATTCAAGTGATGCAGGGGATTGTATGTTAAAGTAGTTTGTGGGGGGAAAAAAAAAGTAAATGCGTTGCTCTGTACAGTTCTCAACCTTAACGGTGTATTTCATGTTTTTTTAATCTTGAAACTCGCAGTCATTCCACTGTCCTTCTCCCAAAAAGATGTCGTTCAAAAAAATGGATCCAAGCTGCACGATAGGATTTTATTGTAGAACTGTGCAGGACTTTGAGAAGGCTTCTGAAGAAATAACGAAGGTAGGAGTCAAAGTCACCAAGTGATTCCCCAGCCGGCGCGACGTGCACGTACCCCGTACCGATAAGGGGAGCAAATGAGCTTCGCTTTGCTAAGTAGACACCGTTCTTCTCTGGATATTTATTGCTGCTTTTACGATCATGAGAAATCTAGCTTGTTTTTTTGGTTTTTTCTTCGTTTCATCCGACGTTGGCAGTCCGGAGCACCTGGGTGGAGTGGGGAGAGGCAGCCTGTCAGGAGGAGGCTGCTGGGATCGGGCCGGTGGGCCCACGAGGTGGCACTCGTGAAATGGGAATGCCGTGAAATGGGAAATAATGGGAATGCCGTGGCCGCAGCCGCAGGATCGCCCCCAGCCCAGGAGGGGCTTTGCAAAGGCAGGCAGGGCCCCGACAGGGAGGGGGAGGCTTAAAGGGGAGCATTTGATCAAGTCAAAATTATTTCTTGTTAGCCTGAGTGCTGTTCCCCACGGCATTTCAGTGGAAAGCAGCGTGTGGTTATGATTTGGTCACACATGTCCTTCTGCTTGCAAAAGGCTAGTAAAGGTTCATTTAGATCCAAATAGAATTAACTTTTCCCCCCCCCTTGATTACTACAGCATATGTGTGTATGAAATGTTAGCTTTGATAGCAAATAACTGTGTTCTGTGATTTTTAAAAAGTCTGAAAGGATGCAGTAGCAGCAGCTGCTCACAATATCAGTATTCTCCCCACAGTAGTTACAGCACAAAAAATTTATGTTTGTACAGCGTTTTGAATGTCCTGTTAAGTGCCATTAGCATTATAGCCAAAAAAGCATTAGATTTAATAGTGTGCATAAACTTTAGGAGATATTGATTGTTGCTGAAGCTGTGTCTTTGATTCATACACAGAGAGGTAAAAAATATATTTAAAGAAGTAGAAGTTCCTAAGCAACGGATACACGGAGAGTTTAAATAGTGATATTTCTGTTTTCCCGTGTTTTCCTGTTTCATTGTGTATAAGAAAGAATGCAATTACGTGATAAAAAAAAAATCTGATTACAAAATCAGTTGCATTGGAAGTTCTTTCAATTTTTTCCTTCTTTCTTTTTTTCAATCCTTCCTTCACATTGCTCATTTTTTCCTGCTTTTCCATTATTTTTCCATTTGTTTGCGCGTTCAGTGCGATAACCCTTGAACACAGTGTACTACTCCCTGGGTAGTAGGCTAGCAGGTTCTCGCAGAAGTAAGAGGTGGGAGAAAAGGTTTTGCCTTTACTCCTTGAGGATAAACCCTATGAGCCATATATTCAGTGACAGAAGAATAAGGGCCTTGAAATCAGGGGCCCAGCTGGGGCAATTGGTGAGGCTCCATCCGAATCACAGGCAAGTTACCCTTTGTTTCTGCACTTGCTGGTTGGGCAGCTCTTGTTAAGTAGTTTAATAATACCTGGGATTAAATAGCTGACAGATTAAGGAGACCTGGAAACGCATAAGGACGGATTTACCGCAGCCCCTGGGACTGCTCTGCTGCTCTTGACCTTGGTACCCATCAGGTACCAAGCTTCTCTTTCTGCCAACGCGGTCAGTTGTGTCCTTATGAAAATCCAGGACAGCAAATAAATAGTCTGCTTGGGCTACAACCACGTTTGCCTGTTGGTAGCCCAGGTTCTTGACAGAGCTGGAAGGTTCTCTGAAGAACGGAACCGATGGAGCGTTGCACTTGGATGCAGTTCAGCACAAAGAGTTAATTGTTGTGACAGCAGTGGCAGCCTGAGCTTACCACTTAAATACTAAAAAATCTTGATGTTTGTTGATAAACTCTGTAAAAGCCATCGCAGTAGCACCTAAAGAACTTGCAAGTTCCTTAGAATTTCAAATTATCTGTGATGACTGAGTTAACAGCTTGAGGATAGTTGCAGAAACCAGGTTCTGCTCAACTCTTATTTAGGCATTTGCTTGTGTGTCCAGTTTATGTTCCTTATTGAGTGTTTCATCATCTCCCTTGGTACCTGGCAAGGAGTTTCAGGGGAGGCCAAACACAAGCCCCATCTGCTGACTGTCTTTTTAAAAAGTAGTTCTTATTGTTTGAATATCTATGTAGGGGTTTTTTCACTGGTTTAGATTGTTCTCATGAAATTATATTTAGTGATTTTAGTTGCATGTAGTGTATACCTCTAGGTGAATATAGTTCTGCATGTTCTTTTCAAAGCTGGTAATAAATTGAAAAAAAAAAATAAATTGTTCTCTGATTTAAAAAAAAAAAAATCAATTATTTTAAGTGGTCAAAACAGCCTGAAAGTCTGAAATGTCTTTCAGTATTTGGCAGATCTTCCTTTGCTCTTAAAGGTATTTTGTTGATCTGTTTTAGTATTTATCATTCCCTACCACACGCTTCCGATATGCTCAGTTTTCTTACTTATAAATGTAGGAGTTTTGCACCCCAGCTACCACAGCCTGTTTTAGCCATGTGCTTCGTTGGCTTATTTAGCTAGGTGTACCTGAACTTCTGATAAAAACATTGATTATTGTACGTGCTGACTCTACAGTAAAATTAGCTCCCTGAGGTGCTTAGTTGCCACAGAATTTGTACCTGTGCTCGAGGAGAGAGTTATGGCCACGGTTTTGTAGATTTTTATATCTGCCTACCAAAGCTCCAGCTGCCCTGGGACAAGCAGCAGGTAGAGGGGATCAGGGTGGAACAAAGTAAGATTAGGAGCTGCCTGAAGAAGAAATGGAAGGAAAGATGTTTGTTTAACAAGAGGAAGGGATGTTTAGGTTGTGCAACACTTCTGTTTTAATGTGATGATAATAAAAATGAAAAATACATTTTTTTATTTCTTTTTTACTCTGATAAATATTAGTACTTACCATGTTTCTTCATTTCCAATTAACATTTTCTCTGGTCTGTGTTTTACGTTGTAGATGCTGAAATCTTCATCTAAGGAGAAATATCCCTTGTTTACTTTTGTAAAGGGTCATTCTAGAGACTATGACTTTGCTTCCAGTCCACTCCGTGAAGAAAATGACCTTTTCTCTGAGGATGAAAAGAAAAGATTAAAAAGATTTAGTACAGAGGAGTTTGTCTTGCTTTAAGGACATTTTACACACGATTATTGGCAGCTGTCCAGGAGAACACTTGCCTTTTGAAAAATAAAAATAAAAGAAAAGTTAAGTGTCCTCCTCCCCTGGAAAGGCAAGCTTGTGCTGAAAGTGGTCTATTTTCATAAAAACGATAATGTTTTATATGTTAATTAAAGTCTTCAAACCGTCATTTATAATACTTGCTAATTAATTTTGTTCGCTGCTAGTTGAGTGTGTTCAACGTCACGTCGCGCTCGTGGAGAAGCCAGGTACGCGGGGCTGCGCCTGTGGCTGGTCCCCAAAACCCACCCGCGGCCCTCCGGTCATCCCTGCCGTGGCCCTCGTGTCGGGTCAGCCCGGGGCAAACCCTGAACAGGGGCTGCCGGGTCAGCGCAGGGTTTATTCTCCGTAGGTTTGGAGCCCCCGTTGTTTGTGTCTGTAAGCAGAGTTCTGTATTCCCGTGGCGAGGGTAGAACTCTCGCGTAAGCCCAAATAATAGTGCTGCGATGGTGACGCGCGTCCTGAGCGGCGCCGTGTGAGCGAGGTAAGTTTGATCGACCGGTGGTAATTGTCAGTCGCGATATTGGCATAATTCTCTTGGCTGACCTGTGAGTTAAGATACTCTTTAGCGGTATGATTTTCATGGTTTCTCATCAAGCTTGCTTTGGAGCCTTAATATGAGGAGGGAAGGTAAAGCATTACCTTTCCCCACAATTTTTAAAGGTTGTTCTCTTAATATTAACTTCAGCCAATCAAAGCGGCTCAAGACAATTACTAGAAGAGAGCGGTGGTTTTTTCCTGTTTCAGCTACTCTAATGTTGAGGCTTCTCTCCTGTTAGTGCAGCTTGTAAATCAAAGCAAATGAGAGAATAGACGTTAAAAATTCTGGGCTGTGATTTGATTTTTTTTTAACTTTTTTTAAATACATGTTGTTACTGTACAAATGATTACTTGATGGTGTGTGTTCTCAGACTGCAAACAAATGTACATACATAGTTTCATGTTTTAACAATGTAAATGCAGTATTTAAAATCTATATTAACGCTGCTTGGAAAATAAAAAAAGGTGTGAAAACATTAAATGCATGTGCCTTTTCTGTTAATACCAGATCCTCTAAGAGTGAATATAATCGTGCATCTAAAACAATATTGCAAGGTGTGAACACTCTGTTTATTTGCAATAAAGGCAGATTTTATTGTTGTGCTGTAAACCAAATGTTAACCTATTGTAAGGGCTGTTCAGGCACAGGAGGCACAGACGTTGCCAATCCAAAGAATAAGCACCACGTGTGTTCATTAAAGCACCTTTTTCCGAGGGAGAAGTGCCTAATAGCTAGGGTTTAGGCAGAACTAGACCAAGTATGTGTTTGTGTCAGGCCTGGAGCGTGCGTTTGCACGTGTTAATTGAGTTAATATTCCAAAAAGCCAAAATGAGATTGTGTTCGCTTGTTTTCAGGAACAAAACAAACAAAAACCCCACACATCATTTGTCTAAATTAGTAACCTCTGCACTGTTGAATCCTACTAATAATTGACATAATGTTACTTTTTTTTTAGATGCTGCACGTATGTGAGGATGTTTGGCTTGATCTTACTTAATATTTTGCATTAATAGCCCAGAAGAGGGAGTAAACAACATATTTATGGAATTTAGATGTCAAAATGAGGAGAATTGTGAATGTCAGTGAGAGCTAGAAAATATAGAAGCACAAGGTAACGCAGCTTTAGTAAAAACGATGCAAAACTGTTGAGCGGTTCCTTTTTTTAAGACCGGACGGGAAGTTAGACATGAAGTTGTACTTTGTTTTCACATTTTAAAAAAATAAACAACCCACAACCCTTTGCTGCATCATTAAAAGCTTCTGCCACAGAGCAGGAGGATGTAATTGGCATAATCTGGTTTCACTGGTGCTCTCCTTTCTGCTTACCTTTCTGTGAGGAAGGCAATAACTAAGTGCACAGAAGAACGGGAAAAAATGATGGGGAGCCCGCAGGGATGGACTTAAGGAAGGTGAACTTGTAGTTAAAGGGATGGGCAGGAGGACAGACATCTCTGGGAAAGGGAAAGGTGCTCAAGTGCTTAAAGTCCTGCCAGGCGAGGCTGTTGGAAACCAGGCTGGCCCAAGGGCTGACAAACACACGGGGAAGAGCGATCCGTGTTCAGCGGGTTAGCTGAGTCAATAACGTCTTTTCCATTTACAGCTTTTGTTGTACTACTACTACTAATAATAATAATAAAATGTAATAAGCTTCACTTGCTTTAAGTCCCAGGAGTCTGCAGTACTTGCAATGAAGTTGGAAGTGGTGCTGAGTTACATGAAACTAGGAAAAGTATTAGAGCTGTACAGTGGTCTTTTTCCCCCAATTATGTGCTATTTTTATTTTTTTAAGTGGAAGTTACGGTCCAACATCGTTACACATCTCACATCACCGAGGCAAAGACCCACATCTCTCTTGAAAGGCTTTATCCATCCTACCCCCAGCGCAGACTTCAGCCTTTGTGTCGTTACTGGGAACCAGTTTGGCAAGTGGGAGGACGTCACGGGAAGAACTTTTCCTGCACCACTCAAACGTTTTGAAACAGGCCGGGAGAAAACAGACGGGTGTTCTACAAGTGCATGTAATCAGAACGGTAACGACTCTACTTGGTGATTGCATTTTGTCATCAGACTAAACCAAAACCGCTCAGGCCCGGTAATTCTGCAAGATTTCCTTGTCCAGGCCTTCAAAGCTGCTGCACACTCAGAAGCGCGCTGTGGGCTGCTCTGTCCCGCTGCAGGGCAGTGGCTTTGTCTGAGACAGGAACTAAACAATAAATTTTCTTTCTCCCAGAGCTCCACTGGCTGAAGTTCAGGTACCTTAATATAAATCCCACGTGTACGTACCCACCTCAGCTAGCTGCGTCTCCAGAAACGGGCTGCTGCTCAAAAGGTCTTTGGTTTGGTGTTCTTGTAGAAATGCCAAAATGGAAATATAAAAGCTGTAGTATGTATTAAAGTGTAGTTCTGCCATCCCAACAGCAGACTTCTCTGGAAGGGCAAAATAGGTTCATTTGTCTCCGTCTTTTTTGCAGCTCATTGATAAAGAAATGTAATGGCTGAAACACCTTTGCTGAATTTGTTTAAACAGTGGAAATTTTATTCCCTGTTTGACTAAGGGCAAGAAAGGCTGCAGTGCTAGAACGGCAGCTGGGTTTTGGTCCTCTAAACTGTTGGCAAATCCTTCAGTTTACTACAGTGGTATTTTATTTGTAGCCTGCTACAAGTAGTTGTTAAAAACGAATGGCTGTTTTGAGGGGTTTTTTTTCGTTATTTTTCGTACAAGACCTTAGCATAGACACGGCCATACGTTGCCCTGGTGCACTCGTCTACAGTGGTGACACAAGTTAAATTACCAAGTTACTAGAAATTAATGTTTTTTGGTAACTACAGGGGACTTTAATTGGAAACTATGTTAATTGCATAGTAATTCTCTTTACCTCGTCTGCATTATCTCCTGAAAACCGTGCAATTAATTTGTGTCATCACTGTTGCTGCTGCTGCCTTCAAACACAAACCAAATGAGCATTAGTTACTCACACACCCAGCAGTGGCCTATTTTCTTAAAGGACTTCCACAAATCACTGGCTGATCACTTGCTTGCCTGATGGAACCAGGCTGCACGTACTTCAGAATGTGGCGAATTTTCAAAGTCTGAGTTTTCAATCGCCTAATAACCTTTCTTTTTTTTCTGCCTTATCATTTTTCCTTAGAAGCAACATTTGTGTGTTCATAATACCTAATATTAGCTTGACCCAGCTTCAGGACTCTAAATGATTAGCTGGGACTCTGCCTTCCTCTTTTAGCAAAGATACTGACCTCATCTTTCAGACTAATGTTAAACCTCAGGGTCCTCTTTGACTGGCGCCCACCTGACAGTTGACCAAAACCCCACCGCGCTCAGAACTGATGGTGAAGGTGTTGGTGCTGTGGTGTCAGGTGAAGGATCTCTCCGTGGAGCTGGCTGTGCAGCTCTTCCATGTGAAAAGCCCACCAGCTGCCACATCCCTTCCCCATCAGCTCTGTGCCTGCTGGCACCTCAAGCCAAACACAAAACCTCTTAAAAACACCTTTGGCCAGAACCCACCTTCCCTGCAGGCTATCGTGAAAGGCAGCAACTCATTTCTCGTGATTTTCCAACCCAAAGTCTAAGACTGGGCTGGAGACTGGTGGAGAAACCCAGCGTGCTGGTTTAACTGCACAGGGAACAAGCCAGCAGAGCCTCGGGGATGGCTCGTGGCAAACATGAGACTGGAAGGCTGGATTTGCCCCGTAATGACTAACAAAATAGAAATTTCTAATGTGGTCGTTTAGATGAAGGGGTTATTTATGAATGTTGGTGGAGACAACTGACCTCAGAGAGAAACAGAGCCTGGAGAATTGCAGACCAGCTTCCAGAAGACCTAGAAATGGAGAGATACTCAACACCGTTAGTAAGTTACTGTCCTTTTGTGGCTACAAAGAGGGGCGACAACAGGCCCCAAGCTTGGGTTTTACCCTTGGCTTACAACTTCTGTACTTGTAACGAAAGTCTTTTGTGTTGTGTTTTTTTTCTTTAACTTACCTCTCCCAGCACAGAAGCATTAGTAATGAGAAGCAGGCGAGCAGCAGTTCTGCACAGTGCAGCCAGAAGGACACAACAGGGTGTTGGGGGAGGCAGGGAAGGAATCTCCTGTTTGCCATTAATTACAGTCAGAATATGGACTCACTCTGGAGACCTGATTTATTTCCAGAGTTATTGACAATCTCTTAACTGGAATGATGGAATGAAAAGCAACCATCAGTGAGTTATGAAAGGTCAGTAATGCCACAAATGAATACAAACAGCATATTTGGAATCCAGCCTGCAACACGTTCCGTTTATGCAACGATCTCATCCTAGGTGATACGGCTTTTTGGGGAGGCTGCAGCACCGGCTCTTCTCGTGACGCTAGCAGCCTCCAAGGGAGGAGAATGTGCCAGGTTCCTTTACCATCCTTTACTACCCTGCAATAGATGACTATGGGAGGATGGATATATTTGTCCTTCCCGGTGCATGGAGCACGTTTCCCCAGCCCGCCGTGGGAGGCTGTGGAGCAACACGGAGCAGAACTTCAGCCGCGAGCTCCTTATGCTGTGCCCGTGGCTGGAGCCTCTGGCAGCCTCCAGCTGCTTCCTGGCAGCACGAAGGGGTCGCAGGCTCCCACCA